GAACGTCAGTGAGCACGAAAGGACGTTTAGAATAGAGAACGTCAGTGAGCACGAAAGGACGTTTAGAATAGAGAACGTCAGTGAGCACGCAAGGACGTTTACAGTATAGAACGTCAGTGAGCACGAAAGGACGTTTAGAATAAAGAACGTCAGTGAGCACGAAATGACGTTTAGAATAGAGAACGTCAGTGAGCACGAAAGGACGTTTAGAATAGAGAACGTCAGTGAGCAAGAAAGGACGTTGATAATAAAGAACGCAATTTGTAAAACATTCCGACTTTAATCGGCTTGTTCCGCCGTGTATATGATAACTGCATGCACGCCGAGGTGAACAATGTATTACGTCATTCCTCGTGCACTCACCGTCTGACGTCACACACACACACTCACACACACACACACACACACACACATATACATATACACATTGTATATATGCCAGTTTTTATTAGTCAAGAATCGTTTAAAATGTTTTAGAAAATAAGCAAACACGAACGCCGAAGCGAACTTTCCGCCATATTGGATAGTGTTTGCCATGTAACGTTTCACGTATGTCGGTTATGAGACGCATCATAACATCACATATATTTCACACACAGCTGCGATACATACATCCCTAAATTACGCGTTCATTTCGGCATCAACTTACAACTTGTCTGTGTCACAAATATAAACGGTCTGGATGTAAACAAGCGAAATAAATCTGGTTTGAAAACGAACGCTGGCGTCATAGAGGAAAATCGAATTTCTTTATTTATGGCAAGTTATTTTTCCTAACGAATGTGTAACGTTATACATATGCATACAAATCTTTTTTATATATATTTTTGACGTTCAGATATTAGGCTGCATTTTGTTCCCACGCAGTTAATGAAAAGCTGTTAAATAAAACAAATTCTCGCACAACGTTCACTTTTCAGATGTTATGAAAATGTGCGTCTGAAACAAAACTCGGCATCATTGCACCCTCGTGTTGCACCAACCATGAACAGTTATTGGTTCATTGTAGAGTAATCCTAGTTAAGCGTTAAATGAATGTTTATTGAAGGTTGTATACAAAATACATGTACTAATTAGGCAGATGTCAGATTACACAGTATACTGTATTTATGAAAAGGCCCTTGACCGGTGACGATGCTTAAACGCAACATGTATATCCACAATGTGTACATTATACACTATACATGTGTGTGTGTAGTGTGTGTGTGTGTGTGTGTGTGTGTGACGTCAGACGTAGAGTGCACGAGGAATGACGTAATACATTGTGCACCTCGGCATGCATGCAGTTATCATATACACGGTGGAACAAGCCGATTAAACTCGGAATGTTTTACAAATTGCCGGGCCATCTGTCGTTCTTTATTGTCAACGTCCTTTCGTGCTCACTGACGTTCTTTATTATAAACGTCCTTTCGTGCTCATTAACGTTCTTTATTGTAAACGTCCTTTCGTGCTCATTAACGTTCTTTATTGTAAACGTCCTTTCGTGCTCATTAACGTTCTTTATTGTAAACGTCCGTTCGTGCTCACTGACGTTCTTTCTTACACATTGTTCTTTCTTTTCTTATTACGTCTTTTCATAACATTTGACTATTAATATTGCGTACTTTCGACCTTTATTTCAACTTTGTATTTGTTTAACCGGCGTCTGTTTGTTTTGTATTTTGACCTTTATCAGTAACATTTTGTTCTTTATTCCTAATATTTGACCTCTATTGCGTATTTTGGTCCTTTTTTCAACTTTGTATTTTTTACCGAATGGCCGCCCATACATACTTATCACATACTAAAATAACACGAAATTCATCCACAAACTCTCCTAATTGGCAGCTTTTACAGATACCCTTTTCAACTTCTCTTTTTCACATATACGTCTAAAATTTACATTGAAATTGTGTAATGCCACTCTGAATTTACCTAAAGCCATTACAAGCGATTTATCATCTAACATACTTATATACTTCTCTGGTTCTATAGCAGACTTGATATTATTGTAACGGCTGAGGAAACGCGAAGAAGATATTCTATCTTGCCAGTTTTGACAGTTTTTCCTGTAACCTTTGCTTAAATGAGTATTTGGGAACAAATGTGTGTCCCCGACATGTTGAGAAATCCACACAACTGAAAAAACATATGAAAATAATAAATATCTTACAATTTTACCATTGTCATCAAGAGCTCTTAGTAGTTTATTACAATGATATCTTTGCGATCCCTTCAAAATTTTAACCAATATTTAGTCATTCGAAGTTCATTTAATATATGAATGTGATAGCGTCCTGTTGCACCAAAAATAGCTTCATTAGAAGCATATTTTCCAGCCATTAAAACCCTTAAATTAAGAAGAATGTGCTTCTTTAATAGCAAAGCAGTAGAAAGGGGTGCATGTATATTTTGCTTGAAAAAATATTGATTGGTATAATTGCGTTTGATGCTAATTGTTTGCACGCCACTGACCATGATTGTTTAGATGGTAGCGTCAACCCTAAATATTTATAATACATAACAATTTAAGGGAATATTACCACGTGATTCTCCGGGCGAGGAGACGTTAGGGGTTGCCACTGTTTCACTGTTGTTAAGTCTGATAGTGGTGAACCCAGCACTCATCCATTATTACAAATCGCTCGACAAAATCAGCTCGGCCTGCATCAAACGACGTAAATTCTCACGAGAGATGATGGACCAGGAGTCAGAAGCCTCGGAGTGAGTGAGTGTGTTGGGTTTAACGCCGCTTTTAACAGTATTCCAGTTATATTGTGGCGTGTCAACTTAATGTGGGAGGAAAGCCCACAGACGTTTACCAATTCGGTGAAACCCAAGAGCACGGGTATGGGGCTGACAAACCTAGAAACATAATCGGGGCGAACCGGGATTCGAACCCTCAATCATAGGTTTCTGGCGTGCCCAAGGGACGCAACTCTGCACAGCGAATCGCGGCGCCTTAGACGACTGGGGCCACCCGTGCCCCCTCAGAAGCCTCGGAAGCCAGCATGCTGAAATCTCTCATGCTCAGGCCATTCCTAAGAATGTTCTCACCTCACTTGACAGATGCCTCCTATATTGACTATGTGACGTGTGGTGTGTCGTCGACCATCCATAATTATGTATTTTGTATTTTATCAACATTCAGAGGTGGCAGTTGAAGGTCCTTCTAATCTTCACCTCTTGAACTCCGCTACCCACCTCTTGACAGTGGCAAGAAACGAGCTTCGTCATCTAAAGATGACTCTATGTCTGCGTGGATGCTGTTGGAGTTGGCCCTTTCAGTTGGAGATACTTGATGACAGCGCGGTTGCCAATTTTGTCCATTTTCATCAACAGAGAAAACCTGGTCACTTTGATTTCTGAAGAAATGTGCTGCCTGGGATGAAGTGCAGCCTGTCAGCATGGAATGTACTGTACTGAATATACTGGTGGAAACGAGTAAGGGAACACTGGAAAATATGGGGAAATAAGCTTTACTGTCACTACATTTGAAATAGCGCGCATACAATTCAACACATGTCAGAATCAAATGTTGAGATGTGTTTGTGTGCATTGTTTCCATTGGTAGAAAAGGCTAGGAACCCATGATAGCATATCACTTTACGGTGTCTACAACTAAGCGATCCCTTATTTATTTCCATCGGCATGGTGTAGCCTGGAACTGAGGCTGTACATTCTAGGGGCAGACCTTTAAGGCTCCTGTACTGTTGGCACACGCAATTCTTTTTCTACTAATTTAGTTAAAGTTGATAATTAAGATGGTACTCCCAATTCTCAAAATACACACCGACCCTGATGTAATGTTGTTTTATTCTATTAAAGAGAAATTTCATCTTCAAAATATTGTCTTGTTGGTAGCTATGTTATCCTGCTATATTCTTCTCTCACTCACTCACTCACTCACTCTTCTTTTCTTCTTCTTCTACTACCACTACTACTACAGTCACTATTACTGCTGCTACAGCTACAGTTACTACTACAGCTACTACTACAGCTGATGTTACTACACTATTACTACTTCAGCTACTGCTACTACTAATGTTGCTGCAACTACTACTAATACTACTTCTTGTGTACTACGACCACCACAACTACTATTACTACTACTACTTCAGTCACTACTACTACTACTACACTTACGCTACTACAGCCTACTACTACCACTACTTCTACTGCTGCTGTTACTGCTACTACTACTCGTTCTACTTCTACTACAACAGCTACTACTACTACTACTAGTACTACAGCTGCTACTACTATTACTACTTGTACTACAACTGACTACAACAGCTGCTACTACTACTAGAGCTGCTAGTACTACAGCCTACTACTACTGCTATAACTACTACTACAGCAACTACTTCTATCTACTTCTAAAGCTAATATTACATACTGCTACTTCTAGTACTGCTATGACTACTATTACTACTACTACTACTACTACAGCTACTACTACCACTACTACTATACCTACTTCTAAAGCTACTACTACTACTACTACAGCTACTGTTACTACTGCTACTGCAACTACTACGGTTACTACTACTACTACTACTACTACTACAACTACTACTGTTATTACTTCGGCTGCTACTACAGCTCCTACTACTACAGCTACCACTACTACCACGTACTACAGTCACTACTGCTACTATTTTATGGATATATTTTTATTTGAAATTCATGAAAAAGAAAACAATTATGAAGTGGCATATTGTACATAAATTGACATCGGAAAATGACTAATTGGCTTTGGGTTTCTATTTTTTAAAATTTCATTTATCATAAATCTTTGGAGAAAAAATCAGGAATATTAACAACACTGAACCAAAGACGTATTGTTCTTTCTTTGATTTGTAAACATCTAACGGCAATCTGAACCTTCCAAAAAAGCATTTGCGCCTCTGGTTGTGAGATACGGATATATGTGTCGCAATCACAGTCCTACTTTCAAATATGGTAAGCAATTTGAAGTCGAACAAGAGTTACCTCTCACCTCATTTTCTCACCGATAGGCGGCGGTAGTAACTAAGGTTCGGAGGTCACAGTTGATTGTAAGCGTTCTCGTGTCAACGGTGTGTCCAACAGAGTTTGCACGATGCCAGAATCTTCAAAGAAAATATGTGTTGTCGGCTCAGGAAATTGGTAAGGACTTCCTATATATCAAACCTTCGTCTGCTTATTACTTGCATATAGATGCACCGCATATATTGCCAATGTTGCATTGTTGGTGGCACTGTCTGCAGAGCAAGAATTTCTGAGATTTCGTGCAACTTGCAAGTGCCAACATTTATGCTACCAGTATCAGTGGAATCACTGGAATGGATATATGCATACGTCATGTGGTAACAGTTTGACAGTTTCAAATGTAGGTGATACTAGTACAAATTAAGGTTATGATTAACGAGATGAGTTCATGCTGTCTGTATGATGTAGGCTATTGTCAAAAGGAAAATGTCAAAAAGTTTTTCGTTTTTTTCACCTTTTTTGTGCATGTAGTGAGGCGTGATAATGTTTAGTTCTTCACACCGTGTACACTGTTGTCAACAGTATTTGTGCATTATGTTGCCAAGGTGCGCTTATTAGCCACTGAAACAAAAACACATGTCATACATGCAGGCATTATGGAAATTGGACTGTTAATATTCTTTGCATAAAATAATTCATTGTTGTATTGACTTTTTCAAATATTCTTACAGCATCTATGCATGGGCAGATACAGAGGGGGGGTGTGCACCCCCCCTTTTTATTTCGAAAAAAATCTTTATTTCTGTATAAATTACCTCCAAAGACAATAAATAGATCTTAGTTGTGCACCCCCCCCCTTTTCGAAAAAGCTGTATCCGCCTCTGTTATGTATAAAACTTTAATTACAAGAAAGTATCATAATTACATTTTTCTCTAATTAGCCAACACTTTACTACAAGTAATTTTTCCTGTTTTGCCTTGTGATCAGCAAATGAATGTTGACCTAGATGCACATGTGCAATTGAAACACTCGAAAACGTGTATGGATTTCCCTAAACTTAAGGGGAGTGTTATAGGAAAGAGCTTCCTATCCCGAAGGGTTGTAAAAGGGTGCTTGATGAAAGGGGATCCAAGGGCTAAGGATAGAGTTGGGGGTAACCTACCCCAACACAAAGTAGACACAATTTATGGATAGCTTCTTTATTTACTGTTAATGTTATTCATAAATTTTTGCCTACTTTCTCATCTGTCAGCTTCTATGTAATGCCTATCAAACTATTTCCCCCAACACAACTAGCCCAAAGTATCTGAGTGAGAGCTACAACTGGCAGCCAGAGCCAGTTATCACAGTGAACTGCAATTTTGCTAAATAAGGTACTGATATATCTCAATTTCCAATATGCAGCAGTGTTTCCTTCATGATGTCATAGCAACAGGAATATAGTGTAGTGACATCATAATTACACAACCCTTAGTTGTAGGTTAGTGAAACTGGGTTTGTGACAATTAGGGTAATTCTCTAATATTCATTTTTCTGCACATAAGTTATGTGATTTGCATGCTTATACATGTATGACTTGAAATATCATATCATATGAATACATTACTTGGTTACGTTGATCTACTTTCAATAAGGAGAATATGCTATTGTATTACACTGAATCCCACCTTTGGGCATCCTGTTTGTTTGATGCGCTGCATCGTCCTTGAAGGTGAAATTCAATCTTAAGGTCATACACTCAAACATGTTTTATGGTTCTGATACCTCAAAAAGTATGGTTGAAGTGTTTGCTGTAGTAGGATGAAAGGATATATATATTCTTCGGATGAGACATTGAAATGGTCTAATTTTGAGTGACCTTCATAGAAGGTCAAGGTTACTGGAATTCCCATTTGTAAGATAGTTTTGATTCTTTGTATACTGAACCAACCCCCACTGATAGTCTGACATGGTTATGAGAGCTAATACCCATGTTTCCATCTGGGATTAATCAAGTCTGTGATTGGCTGAAACTGAGGGTCATGGCCAATAAACTAGAACCTTCTTGTTATGGTAGCTGGAGGTATGGAACATTCTGCTTTAAGGATGTGTTGCAGTGCATATGTGTTTTCCCAATCTGGAAGTAATGTTATTAAAATAGAACATGATGACGGATGCTAGAGGTTTAAATTTTATTTAAAGTTCACAGTAGATGAAATAAAGTGTTACATATCTGGAGGTAAGTGATTAAGGATGAGATGGGTATGTCATGTGTATAGATTGTAATAGTATTTTGTTTATTTGTAGTCAGTATAAGTTTTTGTTAATCTTATAGTGCATATGGGCGTTTTTTGTAACGGATGACATATTGAACAACTGATGAAGATGAAGCGATGAGAGGATACATTTTCTGCAGCTTACATAAAGATATGTTACTGAGATATAATAATAATAATAATAATTAATAATGATAATGTTATCCTTATTTGGATTTATAGCCCAGGGTGTGGAGCTCTTGTGAGTTAAGCTATTATAGGCCGATGGACTATGGGACATTTTAATGTCAATACTGCAGTGAAGGCGATTGGACTTTGTACCCACATGGTATGTTTTTGCTAAGCTAATAAGCAGCAACAAGGTGTATTGATTGTGACCTGTCAAACATGGTCATATGTAGCAGTACTGTAATCAGTTTCAGTTGTTGACCCCACTACAGCATGTGTACTACAGGGATTTATCTGGACCTGCTCGGAGGTTGATACTGTAAATCTTGAAATGAATAAGTCCCCAAATGAATGCGACTGCCCCAAGCAGAAATGTGACTCCCCCTCCCAAGCCCATAGTGGAATTACTATCCTATATAGAGAAAATGGCTTTTGTGAGGTTTGCAGGAGAATCTTTACCTTAATCCATCATTAGTCCTATCAAACAGAAAATAGCACAGGTTATTAGCGCTAGAATACTAGAGTAGAGTACTTCTGTAAAAACAATATAGTGTTTTCCTCAAAACAACAGATAACTTATGTGTTTATGCTATTGCCATGCATAAAATAAGTTCAAAGGAATTAAAGTAATAAAACCAACTCAAGTTGACGCAGTTGCAAACAACTAAGACACTGTGTTGTGTGGGTGGCATCTGTCTGGACTTGCTGGAGTACTCAGTGATGCATAGTTTGACACGAGTAAGTAGAACTCTTGACCCTTACTGTGACAATTCACATGATGTCCATTATGTAATTTCTAGTGTTTGAATGACAATATACTTGTTACAACTTACAAGTTCTGCTCAATAAACAGTGGTGTGGAATATATACATAGCTGTTTGTTTTTATGTCCAAGTTGGTATATCTGTAATCCAAAATGTGAAGTTAGGCGGTCTTAATGTTGAGATTAAAGGTCAAATCCTGTTAATCCGACATTGTTGGTTGCATATGATTATGTTGGATTAACGAGTATGTCGGATAAACAAAATTAGGTAGAATCAATGTTTGTAATCGAAAATCGGACAACTACACGATAGATAACGATTGAAAAATAAAAAAACAAAAGGAAAAAGGAAATATTTATATTGTTATGTTACATTGTTAGCAGAATATGTTTTCTAGTCATGCAACCTCTAAAGTTTAACACAAAACTACTGTTACAAACTGTATGACTGATTCAAAATACATTTGAAAGCATAGTCTGGAATGGAATTCGCCAATTTTAAACTAGTGCCGCAATGTTTAAGAAAGCTGCTTTCTTAGTGGCTTTTGTCGACTTCTTGTTGGTAATTTCATTGATTGGTCAAAGTTCGCGAAATGTTGTTCTGACATGACCTGTAATGGGATGTCCTCAGCGATTGCGAGAACTTGTATCTGATTTTAATGAGATTGGGGCAATCTAGGCATGTGAATAATCCTGTTTTGTTTATTTAAAGCAGTTATTGTTTATTGTTAAGCAAGTTTATCTCTGCAGCCGTTGAAATATGCAGCTACTTGTCTACTCGTCTCGCATCAAAACACGGGGCTGTGTTCTTGCGGGCAGATGACCACGGAGTACACTGATCACTGTCTGATTAACATGATTAACAAGACTAATTAATAAGTGATTTAAGCAATTCGTTGCAAATTAGGTGTGTCAGAGTCGGAGTGCGAGACTGTCGGATTAACAGGTCTATATAGCACTGATTTAATTGGTTCCCATCATTAGTGTCGGATAAAGCCGATAGTTGGATTAAGGAGACTTGACTGGAAATGCGATGTTTAATCAATGCAAGCAAAGACCACTCACATTTTTCTCATTTGATTCACACACACACATTAATTTCAAGATTTAGTGTTTGGTCCCAAGTCTGCGGCAGTTGTCATTTAAAATTTCTAAATGGGAATTCCATGTAGATACAGTTACAACCTATCTAATGTCTTGGTCAGGAGACTTGTATTCCACTGATAACAGGACCAAAAAAGAGTAAGAAGCTTAATTTCATATTACTGTATTGAATGCATTGTTCCAACGGGGGAGGTCGGGTAGCCTAGTGGTTAAAGCGTTTGCTCATCACACCGAAGACTTGGGTTTGATTTCCAACATTGGTACAATGTATAAAGCCCATTTCTGGTCTCCCCCGCCATGATATTGCTGGAATAGTGCTAAAAGCGGTGTAAAACCGTACTCACTCACTCAATAATGTATAACGCTATATTAAAATTCCTCTGAAAAAAAGAAAATATGAACTTAAAAAAATCCCCACTTTGAACAAGCTAATTTTTTCACGGCTTGGAATCATTTATCCTAAATACATCCCCGCTAAAAGAGACCTGATGAATGCTCTGGCCTGTGTTAACACAGGCTGAGGCTATGACTGACCCACATCCAGGGTCCAAATTGAACTCTATGAACACTGACTGAGACAGAAATCTTGTAGGCCTCGGCAGAATAGATATGTTGACATAACCCAATGGTGGTTGATAGTGTAATCCGGTGAAACTGTACATTCAGACATGTCTTTTCTTGTTATTGGGTCAAGGCTGTAGCGATCAGTATTCATGTGTCTTTTCCCAGTTTCGCAGGGCAGAAGGATTATGTTGTTCAATGTACATGTATTACAGTAATGTTAATAAAGAAATAAGAGTATGTGAACTATTTTCGATCAGATGATGTTTCTTCAAACTTTTTATGTGATTGAATCTTCTGTGAGGGTCAGTGTTTGACTTACCTT